CATAGCTGGATTCATATTGACTTTGCTCACATGCTGGGTGATTGGTCAGCTCCTGTCCTTGCAGCTGGTCATCCTGGATAAGAACAGCAACTGCAAAGGTCCCTGAGGCCCTGGCTCAGAACTCATTGTCACTAACATTGCATGCCTGTGGACAAAGCAAGCTGCGAGCCCCAGCCTGAATTCACAAGGCTGGGAATAGGCACAGGAATCTGTGCTCAGAGGAATAGGCTGGATCACCTGTATCATCTTTCTAAACTGTGACACACTGCACTGTCCTTTCTTATTCTCTCCCACTCCCATTTTATTAGCTTTTATCTTTAGTTAAGAATGGACAGGGTGACATAATAGGCAAAATGCAAAATATACACTTTAGAATCTCATACACTTATCTGATTTATATTTTAGACATTAATATTTTGCTAGTTATATGTATTAAAGATAACTTTTCTCAGTGTAAAACTTGCCTTTTTGCATTTGTGGTACTTTTTGATAAGCAAAATTTTTTGATTTTAGTAAAACATTATTTTCAATCTTGCATGGTTTGTACTTTGTATTTTTTATTTTTTGGTGGTTCTGAGGATTGAATCTAGGACCTTTACACTAAGCATCCCCAGACCCCTAGTCCATTTTTATTTTGAGACAGGGTCTTGCTGAGTCACTAAGTTGCTCAGGCTAGGCTTGAACTTGGAGTTGTCCTGCCTCAGCCATCCAGAGTACAAGGATTACAAGCGTGTACCACCATATCCAGCTTGGTTTGTACTTCTGCCTACTTTAAGAAGGTTTTGTCTCTGAAGTAGTACACGTTGTCTTCTATGTTCTCATTGTTTTCAGTTTATTGTTAATTGACACATAGTACATATTTATGAGGTACAATGTGATATGATACTTGTATACATGGTATGATAGTTCAATCAGAGTAGTTAGCAAATCTGTCACCTCAGACATTTAACATTTTCTCTCCTAGGGATTTTAAAATACACAATACAATATTGTTAACTGTGTTTACCCAATATGTTTTCTTCTGAAAAGAGTTACAGCTTAGGTTATAATCTGGCTCATGCCTAATAGGTAGTGAATTTTTGAATGGCGTATGTTAGGGGCCTAATGTTGTTTCTTTCTGTGTGAGTATTCCAGGATGCTGGCAGTTGATCAGAGTTCCTTTCCCCATTAATCTGCTGTGTGTCACACTCTCATATATGGGTGCAGCTGTCTCTGCTCCCTTAATCTGTTCTGCACTGCTGTATTGTATTGTAATTTTGTAATATGTTTTGATATCTCAGAGGGAGAGTATCCCACTCTTATTTTTCTTCTTTAAAACTATCTTTGGTATTATTAGTCTTTTATCTTTTTGTGAAAACCTATGCTGTCAGTGTAATCTTCATGAAAAGGTTAATAGGCATTTAGCTAATAGGTATTATTAGTTGCCCCAAGATTGTGCCTTAATTATGTGGTCTCTTTGTAAAAATTGCTAAACATTGAAGGAAATGTGTATTCACAATCCTTGGTAGTAGAGTTTGAAATTCATTTGTGGATCAAGCTTAAGAATTATTGATATTTACATATTCTATATCCTGACTAAATCTATTATGTCTTATGTTTATAGAGCTTTGTTTGTGTTTGGCTGGTGCACTTTCCCCAGCCCTTTAGTCTACTGTGTCTTTATGTTTAGTGCTTTTCTTGTGTGTAGTATGCAGCTGGAGTTCATTTTACATTGTTTTTCTAATCTCAACATGAAATGTGTTAGGCTTAGTCTGTTTACATCTGTTTAGAAGATCCATACATTTTTTTTTTCTTTCTGTGTTCTCATTTAGCTCTTACTCTTTTTTGCTTCCACTTCCTGCCATCTTGATTGCATTTCTACTTTCAGCCTATACAATCTATTTCTATTCTTTAGTGGTTGCTCTTAAAATTAAAACATGATTTCTAATACAAACCAAAGTTAATCTTTCTACTTCCCTCTTGAAACATAAAATTAGCATGAAGTGCCTTAAATATGATCACCCCTACCATTGCTTTATTTATATCTTATATATTTTTTTTCACTATTTTTTTGGTACCGGGAATTGAACTCAGGGCCTCGCTCTTGCCAGGGAGCACTGCGCCACGGGGCTACATCCCTAGCCTGTCAGCTGTTTATTGTTTCGGCCTGTACACCAGATATTTATCTAAATTCTATATTTTAAAATTTTTATTTTTTGCAAAATGCATCTATTAGAGAATTTTTTAATGAGGTTCTGTTTGTGGTAAACATTTTTTGTTTCTTAAAAGTCCGATTGTAATCTCCTTCTTAAATAGTGCTTTATTTATTTGGGGGACTGGTGCTAGGTATGGAACCTAGGGTCTCTTGTATGCTAGGCAAGCAATCTACCACTAATGCCCAGCCCCCTTGGTTAGCGTTTTAGCTGGAAATCCAGTTGGAATTCTATGTGGATAGTTTCAACATTTGAAGGTCCGTACAGATAGATCTTCCAGTCTTCTCTTTTTAATTCTACTTAATATTCTTATCCTTTGAGCATTTAAGTTTCAGTGGCTGCAGCTCTTGTTTCTAGAAATTCTCTCAATTAACCTAGTCTTTTTGTGAAAATATATCTCGGAAAATTTTTTTTAAAATTTTAATAATTTCAACCTAGCCATGTGGTTACTGCAGCACTGTCCCTGGGGGGCTCTTTGCTGTGTTCACCATGGTCAGTGTCTCTCTCTGGCTCACAGTGACTTGTTCCTTCTGTGTTTTTAGCTTTGGGTTCTAGGTTCCTGTCTGCCCAAGCTTTATCTCTGGGCATTTTATGAAGCCCTCGTTAAGAGTGAACCCTTCCAGAACAGATTGGTTTTTGCTCCTGTCACACGCTTTTGAGATAGAAATCCAGAAGGACTGCAAGGCGATTTCTCAACTTGGGGCTTCCTGGATGCATGCATGGTGGGACCACACCCCAAGCACACTGAGGCCAGGCCTGTGACCATAACCTTGGGGAAGAAGCTCATCTGACTCCCTTTGTACCCCGTCCCAGCATGTAGGCAGAATGAGCAAGCTTCTTTTTCCAGCGCTTTTGCCACTAATTGCTTCTTTCTGTCTGTCTTTACACCATTTCAGAAAAGAGGGCGCAGGCCCTGTGTTCGTCAGCTTTCTGTCACAGTAACGAATACTGGTGATAGATGGTCGACTTAGAAAGGGGAAAGGGTTGTTTTGGCTCACAATTTTCAGGTTTCTATCCCTGACCCATTGGCCCACTTGTTTGGGAGCCTGTGGCAAGGCAGCTTGGAAACCGTCACCCAGGCCAAGAAGCAAAAGAAAGGGTGAGGAAGTGGCTGGGTCAGTGTGAGCCAGATGGTCCCAGGACTTCTCACCAGGGTACTTCCTTATTAAACGCTTCTCAGTCTCCAGTGGCACCTCTCTGGGAGCCCAGGCCTTTCGTATGTAGGGGAGAGACATTTAAGATCTGAACTCCGGCACCCTTCAGGGAACCTTGTGAGTATGGGCAGTTCACTTCCACCTCCCCAGACTGTACTGACCTGGGGCCTCTGTTTTGTTTTATGGCTTTGAAGTTAAAAGTCAAAGCTTGAGTTTTGTGGGCCCCGAGCTGAGGATGCTGTCATTGTGAACTGTTTGGGTGCATTTGTGATTGTCACAGTGATTGGAGAGCTCCAGGACCCAGGGATACTAGTGCCAAGTGTGTAGTACTGTCCAGAAAGCACCAACAAGCCAGCATCCCTTTCAGAAATGCCCGCACACCGGGGCATACATTTGGGGCTACCAGGTGTGGGCACTGGCCGAGTGGATTGAACCCAGGGACTTTGTACTAAGCCACATCTGCGGCCCTTTTATTATTTTTTATTTTTTACTTTGAGACAGGTTCTCACTAAATTGCCCAGGCTAAGCTTGAACTTGTAGTCTTCCCGCCTCAGCCTTCTAGAATGCTGGGATTACAGGCGTGTACCAAACCATACCCAGTTACTCAATTATTTTTTAATTAATGAACTAATTTGTAGATTTACTGATTATAAATCAATTAATTAAATCTGTTTACGACATATAAACTATATATCCTTATAAATTTTGTTATGAATTATTTTTTGTAAGCTTGGGCTGTGGTTTTACTCACTTTTTTGACACTGGGACACAATGCCCAACACCCACAACATGAGGAGCGGTTTATTTTGGCTCACGTGTTCCATGGTTGGCTGGCCCTAAGAGAGGAAGGGCGTGGTAGAAGGGTCTGGTGGTGGCAAGCTGCTTTGTTCATGGAGGGTGGGAAGCAGAGAAGAAAGAGAGGAGCCCAGGAGCAGGATATCTCTTCCCAGCTCACATCCGCAGAGATTTACCTTCATCCAGGCTCCACCTCCTAACGGATAGCTAGAACCTCATAATCCGATCACCTTCCAAAACCCCACCACTGAACACATGTGGTTCTTGGGGGACATCTAAGTTATAACAGGCAGCTTAGGAAAACATCATAAATGGCGTGGCTTACACAGCAATCATTTGTTTCTCTCAGTTTTGGAGGCTGGAATTTCCACTGTGGGCGCTGGCCCATTCAGTTCCCTGGTGCGGGTTCTTTGCTTGGCTTGCAAATAGCTGGCTTCTCTCTCTGTGTGTTGATAAGGACAGAGACTCTACCGTCTTCCTCTTTTTATAAGGGCGTTAACCCCATCACGGGAATCCCACCCTTCATGATGAAATGTGAACTTTGTCATCTCCCCAAAGTCCCATCCCCAGATACCAGATCACACTGGCATGAGGGGCCAGGGCCACAAAATAAATCAAGGAGGGCACAGGTAATTCAGTCGGTGCAATTATTATTATGTAAAAACGCAGTGTGAAGTCAGAACAGGAGTAGTAACAGTACAAGCTTCCATCTCTGGAGCCACGATCATGGCTTGTACTTGCAGGATCTAGCAACCATGCACAGGTCATGAGGTCAGCTCCACGTCCCCATCCCACAGGAGTGGCTCTTAGCAGTCACTCCGCACACTGACCCACATTTCCTTCTGATTCCGTGTGACAGGACACAGCCTCTGCAGTGAGCAGAGCAGTAGTGCCGAGACCGCTCCAGACGAGACCGACGGGCCAGACTTGGAATCCTCTGATGAGACAGATCACAGCAGCAAGGTGAGAGATTTTCATTTGCACATCTCACGTCTGGAACTGGCAGAGAGCCACAGCTGCCACGCCACCTCTGCAGCCGGATGTGCTCCACGGCCTCTCCACGGACAAAGTGTTTTTACCTTGGGGAGGATGCTGAATAGCAGGGTATGAGGCCCAAATTACAGCCTTGATGACAAACCCATATGAAAAAGTAGAGGGCAGAAATCTGCTCGTAATGAAATGAAGGCCCCTTTCAGATTTCTGACACTGCCGGGCTTCTTGTTAAGGCCATAATCTCGTCCTCTTTCCCTTCTCTGTCTCTGTTGGTGTGGGATGAAATGGCATCCCACAGCGTGCGTGGGTGAGTCAGCCTTTGCTGCTCCTGTGGGTGTCTACAGTGAGCTGCTTTTCAGTGAGCTCTGCTCAGCTCCTCTGGAAGGTGCCCATTTTTTACATGAAAGGGAAAGAAACCTGAAAAAAATTAATCCAAATAGGTGGTTCTTTAGCTGAGTACTGTGAGAAAAAGGTTTGTTCCTAATAGTTTGGTTCAAGACACTGATACTATTATGTGTACTTCGTCACGCTTCTGTTCTGCTTCATGAAGAACTTCTTTGTATCACAGTCTTCGAAACACAGCACAGTTTGTTTTTTGTTTTTTGTTTTTTATTGGTTTTTCTCTGGTTCCGGGAATCGAACTCATGACCTTGCGCTTGCCAGGCAGGCGCTTTTGCCGCTGAGCTAAATCCCCAGCCCCCACAGCACAGTTTGAAAACTCTGGTACTAGATACAGAGTGCGTCTCCCCAGAAAAGCCACTGTGTGTGATTGTTTCCATACTTACCAAATTTTGGCACATTGATGTTGATCCTTCTACCTGTTCCTCATTCTTTGGCTTACCTCTTACCAGCCACTTAGCCTGAGCAATCCCATAACGCAGACTGTGACTCTGATTTCTCATCTGTGAAATCAGGGCAATCCTTGCATTTGCCAGGTGATTGAATTATTAAATGTGTCAGTGTAACTAGGAGCGTACATTGATAATGAAAATACCTTATCCACATATGAATTGTGTTACAAACCTTCTTTTCTACATGTTTTCTGTTGTGTCTCCCTCTGACTTTACAGATTTTTATAAAACCTCTTTGTTTGACTATCTTCAGTATCTCTTTTACGCGTATTTGTTTCTTACCCATGTTGTTACCACTATAGGATCATCAGTTTTTTTGGTATCTTTTAAGTTGAGCACAACATAAAATTAAGTCTTTGAATGTGATGTTAATATTTATGGATTGAAAGGCATCATGTTACTTGGTAATTAGTTAAAATGCCCATCAGTAGACACGTATACCCCAAAACCCCAAGAAACAACAACAACAACAAAAACAAAACAAATCCAAAGCAAAACAAAAATGCCTAAGTTGCTTTTTATTTACGTGGTGTTATGGTTTGTGTCTGGATGTCCCCCTCCAAGCCACAGACAGTCATGGGGCGGGCTTCTAGAGTTTGTGATTGATTCATGGTCCAATGCTGGAATTATAGATGAGAGTGCTACACCTGCCCTGGGGCAGGTAGTTTACATACAAGTGTAAGGGAGGGAAGGAGGCTGCTTGCCACTGCTCCTCCCTTTTGCTCTTGTTGCTTTTGCTGTCTTCCGCTGCTGCCCTGAACAGTTGCTCTCTGCCATGTTCCACTCTGCCTTGGAGCCAGCCAAGTATGGACTGAAACCTCCACAAACTGTGAGCTAAATAAACCTTTCCTTCTTTAATATTGGGCATCAGGTATTTTGTTTCAGCAATGAGAGAAAAGTAACCGAGACACATGGCCTTTGTGATACTTTTACACACTTTGGAGAGGAAAAGGCAAGGCAGGGTGGAGGGGGTCAGAAGCTGGCAAGAGAAAGAGATATTTCTGTTCTGATGAAAGATATTTTGAAGGGTGCTTCTTAAGTTATTTTTTTAAGTTGAGCACTATAAATTCCTTTTATAGGAAGTAAAAGTGCCCTTTTCTTTCTTCTTTTTCTTTTGGCATTGTTGGCCATTGAACCCAGAACCTCCCATAACTAGGCAAGTGCTACTTCTGAGCTATATCCCCTGCCCTTGAAATGCTATTTTCAACTTCTAACAGGATTTAAGAAAACAATTATTTTTTCCTGAATCTGCAACGTTTATTCCAGAGTGCTTTCTAACTTGGATCATTTTCACATTACATCACTGTTCTTATCCCCTTGTGGTTTTGAAAGAGATTGTTACCATTTTAAGTACAATGCGTGGTGAGACCCAAGTGGGTCCTCTGTACTAGAAGGTTCCAGCAGATTCCAGGAAAGAAGAGGCCCTGAGGCCTTGCTGACTGACCCCGTGGGCCTCTCTGACCTTGTGGCGCTCTCTTGAGAGAGCAAGGGACTTGCTTCGAACAGAGAGGGTCAAATGTCCGGGCAGGTGATGTTCCTGTTCCCTACAGAAAGTTCACAGTGGGCTTTCTGAAAAAGAGAATTTCCTTACAGTCAGTGACAACAGGTCTGCATGGTGATCTGAATAGTTTAAAGATCCTGCAGCGGCTTGCATTCATATACCCTCTTGCTACACTGAACTCAGGGAACACTGTGTAACACTGTGGTTCAGGTATCACCTGCCTCATTGGAAATATTCTGTCTCGCAACCCATGTTAGCTAACCAAAATGGCTTTTGATGAATTTCATTTCTCAGTCAGGATGTATGAAACCAAAAACTTGAAATCATACTACCAGATCTTGGTGACAGGGCCCTACTGTGCATTATTAACAATAAAGGAGAAAAAAAGCTAATTTATTGTTTTGTTAATAGGTGCTGTTCCATATTAACTCACTTCAAGCCTGCAACACTCCAGAAAGAGGTGCTCTTATTTTCCCTGTTTTACAGAGAAGAATTCTAGAGCAGAGAGGTCAGGAAACTTGTTAAAACTCGTGCAGCTCTTTGGATGCAAATCCAGTTTAGCTCCAGACCTGGATAGTTTTACCTTCTGGTCAGATTGTTAAGGTTTGGTGTTAAATACCAGGCTTCGTAAAAGAAGGAATTAATTTATTAGCGGTGTTGGAGGCCTGTTAGATACACAGCCAGGAACCACTATAATATCTTCCTGTGTCTTTCTAGATGTCTTTTTTTAATGATTTAATCATTTAATGATTTAAGAGAAAGTAAATATTTTAACTCTTTTGATTAACATTTTTTGCTGTTGTTGCATCTCCTATATCAGTGTATAATTATTTTAGAGTAAAGGAAAAATTAATTTTTAAATAGCATGCTGCCTGAACGTGGAGGAATGCACACATGTTCGCTGGGAGCAGAGATAGAAGTAAGTAAATCAGTGGACACAAATAATCACTTTTTATTCTGGGTGAATAATTGAGGCTGCTGATTTTTGAGGTGGTTTAGTTCTTTTTCGGTGAGCTGTTTTCCACACCTTAGGCAGGAGAGAGAATGCATGTTGGAGTTTTTTTTTTTTTTTATGTTTTTGCACTTTTTAAAATGACAATTTTTGTCGTGCGCTTAAAATGATAGTTTTTGTCATGCGTGGCTGTTAGGAACTGAGCAGGTATATCACTGTGTGCCTGTGGTTTGGGGTGGTGACACTGGAATGTCACACGGTGGGGTGGGGGCGGGGCCGTCACAGAGAGGCCGCAGGCTAGTGGCTTTCCTTTTGCCAGCCGCTCCCTTCTCTGGTGACCGCGAGTGACAGTCTCAGAGAGCCTCAGTGCCGCTGGTCATTTGTTTCCTGGTCCTGGCTTCTAATTGCAAACTCTTGGGTCTGGAACCGAATGCTAATCAGCTCCAGTCAGCAGAGCCTCGCTTGTGCTCTTGTGCTCGCTCATTCCGGATCCCTGGCAGCTATCACGTTGCTTCCCATTGAGCTAGTGTGTTAGAATCTTTTCCAGGACATTTCCATTCAGAATGACTTCTTTTTGTTTTTTTAATTCGTGTTTTTGCTTATCTCCAAAGCGTCTGCCATTGTAACTAAGGATTAGCACAAAATGTGAAAGCCTCCACCATGCACCAGGAAGAGCGCCTGTGAAGTTGTCTGAGCCGGGCAGGTTTAATATTCCTGGGCAGAGTGGGATGCCGGCCAATCAGCTGGTCTCTGGCTGGGGGCGAGGCGCTTCTGTCCCGGGGATGTGGGCTGGACCGTGTTTTCCTGCCTGTGTTGCTTGTCCTTTCTGGAACTTCTGTTGTTTAGCCAGGTAAAATCAAAGCATGAGGTCTTGTCCGTGGTGTAGCCTCTGACAGCCCCCAGGGGGCACGACGGGAAGCAGGTGCCTCTGCAGAGGCTGCTGTGGGCTGTCACTGCACTGAGATGTGGCCGCAGGTTTTCCAGGGACAGCTGGCATGGGATGTCCTCGGGAGAAGATGCTCTTTGTGGAGCTGGAGGGCATTTGCTGCACTCTGAGTATTTTAAGAAACTCCTGTTTCTGTGCTGAGCGTATGAGGTGGTAGAAGTAATTACCATGAGAATATAATCCTGACGATGTCTGCACTATGGAAAATAAAGCGCAAGCCCAGGATTGAAAACAATGACAAGTCTGGTGACTCTCTCTATCGGACGCTTCACCTGGTGAGCACATTTGCTGTTTGAATTCTTTCCAGCCTTGTTTATGTTACAGCTTTCCTGTAGTGGTGATTATACTTGTCCCTTTCCCTATAATTTATCCATTTGCTGTGTGGACTGTTGTTGACAAAAGATACATATCTTGTAGCAGTTTTTGGAGGGTTGGGGGTCAGTAGTTGGTGTGCAGTTGAATTTGCTTAGAATCATTACATTTATCTATTGTTTCACACTTAAATGGCAGAAAGATGTACCCTGGTAGTTTGCATTTTTTTGAAAACCTAATTGTCACTGGAATTTTTTTCTCTTTTCTTTTGGCAGTGGAGTGTATTATCTGATAGGTGCGTAATTCATCTCAGACTGGGAAATGGGAAGTCTAGGGTTTAGATTCTTTGACTTTATTTCTGCGATTTTAGAAGGAAGTGGATGGCTATAGAAGGGTTAGCTTAGGAGA